GATTTTAGCAAATGGCTGCAATATAACAAAGAGTGAAAAATTTAAGGGGGTCTGAATACTTTCCGTACCCACTGTATATAGTATTTGAAAATTGGACAGAAAAGACAAAGGAACGAGACTGTGTACTTAACCGCTTAACTAATGGAAAGAACTACAATAATGGAAAGAATTCAATGAAGCATTGCTATTGACATAATCAAATAAAAACAATGAAAAAAATATCAAACTAAGGATTAAAAGATGTTAATTATATAGTATACATAATAAAAGTATTTTATGTTTATTGCAAAATATGTGTACATACTGTATATATATATATATATATATATATAGTAGTTTGAGAGTGTAGGAGAATATTATTGCTTTGTGGGAGTGGATGGACGCTAAAGAGTTATTTTGCTGTGATTTGCTTGTTTCTGTTGTATGATAGTTGGAGATTGGTGTATAATTATGGGTAATGAAGTTTGTCACCAGGAATTCCACTGTTGACCACAATTGTTTAAAAAATAAGTCGAAATAATGCATGCTGATGGCTTTATTGAAAGCATATACCATCGATTAACAACCTTGTAACTCACAGTATGTCTGCGTTTAATGGTTTATAAGTTATCATTAAAAAAATAAATTCCCTTATGGAGAAAATGAATGGGATTTTTACTTCCAGAACCCGACTGTTGCACTGTATTGATTAACACTATCTAAAAGCCGCATAGCCTAGGTGATGCTAACCGAAAAGGGAGAAAATGAATGGGATTTTTACTTCCAGAACCCGACTGTTGCACTGTATTGATTGACACTATCTAAAAGCCGCATAGCCTAGGTGATGCTAACCGAAAAGTTTTTGATGAAATACACCGACAAACCGGCGTTTTGTTCTTTGGAGTAACATGCACTGACCAATCGTTCACAATAAGTCCAGGATCGTGCATTAAGAAAGTAAATGGGTTCAATTTTGATTTCACATTGACTTTAACATCCGTAAACTCCACGAGACAAACACACGCACAGAGCAACCGCCACAGTGATTTATCTGATTCAATTATCCTGCAAATGTAAAACAAGTCAGTTCAATAAAGAGCTAAAACCTCTTTCTTTCGTTCATTCGTCTCTCACCCTTCCTCCCTCGACCTCCCTCTCTCTGCTGAATAATGAGAGTGTGTAAATGCTTAATTAGATTAAAAGGGTGTGTATAACGATATCAAGATGTTGTGTGTGTGTGTACGTTGAGATCTCTCTACATTAGTGCTGTGTTATTGTGGGCAGGGCTGAGAATTTATGACGCACAAAAACCCTGAAACATCAAACCCATTAAAGAATCCTGATTTATTCTCCGTGAGCACTGGGGAAATATATCACCCATAAAGAGGTGTGTGTGTGTGTGACAGGAACTCCTGGGAAGCATGTGTTTAATAGGAGAGGCTTAGCCGAGGTCTTTTTGGAAGTGTGTGACCTGAAAAACGAATTAGAATACAAAAGGAAACTGTAAGATACGAAAATATCACAACTGCATGCAAGGAAGACTGATCCAAATTTCCTAAAAACATTTTAAAACCTGCCTCTAAAAAAGGTCATAAATTTCACATCAGAATACTTTCATATTTTCATATGTTATATATTTTTATATTCTTCTTTGTTTTGCATTACTGATATTTTTTATTTTATTTTACTAATATTATATTATTGTATTTTTAAAACTTAAAGACTGAACTAGATCCACAGAGATTATTTATATAATACAGTCTTCATTTTAATAATTAAGAGATTTTTAAATTACTAATGCTACTTCTTTCATTTGTTATTGTTGTTCAGTTCATAGACTGCTACGTTCTTAATTTACTCTACACGGTTATTTCATCTTAATTATATTATTTATTTTGTGCTAATTTACTTTACGAACTTCATTACTTATTATTGGACACATCAATAGGAAATAAAGGGGGAAAAAATCACAAGTGAGTTCTATTTAGTTTGATATACAGCAATGAGATCAAATGGAGAGCAAAAAGAACATTTTGCCCAAATAACCTCATGTCTATTTTTCAACAATTGTGCCCAAACAGAAATTTCTCGTTAAATTCTCCCAAACAGTATCACTGAGATACTATTATAGTTTTTATTAATATTTTGAATGAGTTTTTATTTTTATATTTTCTGTGTGTGTGTATATACAGTATATATTACAGTAAAAACAGTAATATTTAAAATAACTGTAAAATAATAATAAATAATAAATGTGACTGTTTTTACTGTTTTTTTATATATATATATATATATATATATATATATATATAGCTACAAATGATTTTGCCATATACAAAAAAGTAAAGTTTACGGAGAAATACAAATGTGTCCCACCAATAAAGCTAAATCAAAACAGTATCTTAGAGCCAGATCTCCTGTTATCCGTCATGCAGTGAGCAGACACACACGCCATTAAATTAATCATCTAATTAGCGTATGTAAATCAAAAAATATGATGCATGTTTTATTTCACTGTCTTTGATTTTAGGAGATCAATCGGCCATTCAGATGGAATATAATATCAGAGCTCATGCTGTTCCTGTGGTGATTCTGTGTGTAACAGAGCTGTTAGTCTCAATAAAACAGACAGGAGAGCAGGAGAGAGTCGTCTTTTCTCTTTTCTGGGTTGAATAGACCACTAGGACGCCTCAATCACTGAAACTAAACTTAATCTTAATCAGTCTCACTGACCTTTGACCTGAGCTAGGCACTGCTGTGAGCAGAGGGTTTTCTCAAAGACCTGCGTGAAGATAAAGATCTCATGCTGGACACCAAAGGATCATGGAGCGTTACGTTGAAGGTGCCTTTCAGAACCGTGTCCATGATGACCGGACTCAACTACAACACACACACAGCCAGAGTGAGACACATTATGTAGAGGAAATTAATGTTTTTTTTTTTTTAAATAAATAAAAAAATACAAAAAATTTAACATTAGTGCTGGGCAACGATTAATCGCGATTAATCGCATCCAAAATAAAAGTTTTTGTTTACATAATATATGTGTGTGTACTGTGTATATTTATTATGTATATAGAAATACACACACATACAGTATATATTTTGAAAATATTTACATGTATTTACGTGTATATATTTATATTCATATAATTTATATTGTGTATAAATATATTTAATATATAAACAATATATTTTTCTTAAATATATACATGCATGTGTGTATTTATATATACATAATAAATATACATATATATTATATATATAATTATATAATATATATCGCGATCTGGATTACATAATTAGAGTACTTGACTACTTGTAGTTAGATTAAATTACATTTTTAAATACTCGTAATTAGACTACAGTTACTTTTTTATTGATTACATGACTGCATATTATTCACACAATATTAATAAATTATTCATAATATATTTCATCTTTTGAAAGTTCCTTTCTTAAATAGCCTACCACTTATATACAGTCAGAAAGTCTTCAGTTTTGAGGACATTCACACAGAGATCAGTCATTAGTCAGGAGGCTACACAGCATTTGACCTCTGGATTTACAAAAATCATTTCAGATCAAGTGTTTCAACTTTGCATCAGCTACTGATGAACACATTAATTTTTATTTTAATTATCACTCAGTAGGTTATTTAACCAATATTACTGTGTCTTTGAAAGGCTTTTGTCTTTCAAACACATTAAAATGCACAAATGCATGCTATTTCTTATTTACATGTAATGCAGGCATTCCCAAACCTTTTTTTCATTTGAACCTCTTTCACCTAATATATTTACTTGAAGTACCCCTTGATTGAAGTGACTTCAGAACAGTTCAGTCGAGATCAGCCCTCCCTACATGAAGGAGTGTGACATCAGTAAGATCAAGCATCTACATCACGTCTGGATATACTTCACTCTCCATTCATCTGAATGTGTCTTCATAAACTGAGCTAAGTTTTCCTTGTATGCTTATACTAAAAGTTAACAGGTTATTGGCAACATGCTAGTTTCTAAGTTATTATCGGAACATATACTGTTTAGCAAATTATGTTTATCATTGGAACGTTCTCAATGTTTGGCTAAGCTGTTTTTAGGAAACGTGTTGTTGATCAAAGCTTTTTGTGTATTATTGGAAACATACTTGTTGCTCAGGCTTTTGGTTATTGCCAATAATAAATTGAGCATAATTTTTCCCTATAATGGACTCTATCAAAATTTTGTCTGACGTACATCAGTTTTCTGTTAATACCCTCACCAATCGCCTTACCAGAGAACAGCATTCCTGATTATAATTGAAATATGTTATCTTTGCTGTGCTGCGACAAGAGAGCATCCTCAAAAGTTGATTGGACAGAGAATCAGTTTAGGGCCTAAAGACTGATCCATGAGAGTGGGAGGTGCACAGACCAATGTTCCACTGATGGTTGGAGGACAGCTGATTGAGGGAGTGAAGCAGTTATCAAAGTTGTGAGCATAGTGTTCACTGATGGAGGACAGAGGCTGAGTATGGAGCTACTCCCTTTAATATCAAAGCATGCCACCTCTTCTCCTCTGCGCTCCCTGACTGATCTTAGAATTGAACATACTACGTCATTGTGTTGGGGGTTTCAAACTTGTGCTTGTGGACAGTTCAAAATCTGAACCCTGAAGCCTGCCGCCAAAATAATGCTCAGGACCTCTACAATAATCTTAATCAGAGTGGTCCTGACTGAAGAAAAAAAAGAAAAAAATATATATATATGTGTTAAACTTATATATTTAACATATATATATATACGTGTTATGTATATGTGTTCGTTGTCCATAACATACGCCTGCCCATACCATAACCCCACCACCACCATGGGCCACTCGATCCACAACGTTGACATCAGCAAACCGCTCGCCCACACGACGCCATACACGCTGTCTGCCATCTGCCCTGTACAGTGAAAACCGGGGTTCATCCGTGAAGAGAACACCTCTCCAAAGTGCCAGACGCCATCGAATGTGAGCATTTGCCCACTCAAGTCGGTTACGACGACGAACTGCAGTCAGGTCGAGACCCCGATGAGGACGACGAGCATGCAATATTAATAAATTATTCATAATATATTTCATCTTTTGAAAGTTCCTTTCTTAAATAGCCTACCACTTATATACAGTCAGAAAGTCTTCAGTTTTGAGGACATTCACACAGAGATCAGTCATTAGTCAGGAGGCTACACAGCATTTGACCTCTGGATTTACAAAAATCATTTCAGATCAAGTGTTTCAACTTTGCATCAGCTACTGATGAACACATTAATTTTTATTTTAATTATCACTCAGTAGGTTATTTAACCAATATTACTGTGTCTTTGAAAGGCTTTTGTCTTTCAAACACATTAAAATGCACAAATGCATGCTATTTCTTATTTACATGTAATGCAGGCATTCCCAAACCTTTTTTTCATTTGAACCTCTTTCACCTAATATATTTACTTGAAGTACCCCTTGATTGAAGTGACTTCAGAACAGTTCAGTCGAGATCAGCCCTCCCTACATGAAGGAGTGTGACATCAGTAAGATCAAGCATCTACATCACGTCTGGATATACTTCACTCTCCATTCATCTGAATGTGTCTTCATAAACTGAGCTAAGTTTTCCTTGTATGCTTATACTAAAAGTTAACAGGTTATTGGCAACATGCTAGTTTCTAAGTTATTATCGGAACATATACTGTTTAGCAAATTATGTTTATCATTGGAACGTTCTCAATGTTTGGCTAAGCTGTTTTTAGGAAACGTGTTGTTGATCAAAGCTTTTTGTGTATTATTGGAAACATACTTGTTGCTCAGGCTTTTGGTTATTGCCAATAATAAATTGAGCATAATTTTTCCCTATAATGGACTCTATCAAAATTTTGTCTGACGTACATCAGTTTTCTGTTAATACCCTCACCAATCGCCTTACCAGAGAACAGCATTCCTGATTATAATTGAAATATGTTATCTTTGCTGTGCTGCGACAAGAGAGCATCCTCAAAAGTTGATTGGACAGAGAATCAGTTTAGGGCCTAAAGACTGATCCATGAGAGTGGGAGGTGCACAGACCAATGTTCCACTGATGGTTGGAGGACAGCTGATTGAGGGAGTGCAGCAGTTATCAAAGTTGTGAGCATAGTGTTCACTGATGGAGGACAGAGGCTGAGTATGGAGCTACTCCCTTTAATATCAAAGCATGCCACCTCTTCTCCTCTGCGCTCCCTGACTGATCTTAGAATTGAACATACTACGTCATTGTGTTGGGGGTTTCAAACTTGTGCTTGTGGACAGTTCAAAATCTGAACCCTGAAGCCTGCCGCCAAAATAATGCTCAGGACCTCTACAATAATCTTAATCAGAGTGGTCCTGACTGAAGAAAAAAAAGAAAAAAATATATATATATGTGTTAAACTTATATATTTAACATATATATATATACGTGTTATGTATATGTGTTCGTTGTCCATAACATACGCCTGCCCATACCATAACCCCACCACCACCATGGGCCAACAAAACAGCATCATGTATGTATGCATAGTTTAATACAAAAGGCTGAAAGCCAATCACACAGAGTACATGATTAATTTAAAAACACAAGTTGCAGTGGGATGGGGAAAAACCCCCGCCATAAAGCCTCGAGATATGTTTTTTCAAAGTTGAACTTGCATTAATTTTACATGGCTTTCTAAACATGCGGCTCCTTTGTGCGAGATGCGAGTGCAATGGTGATAGATGTCCCTCTAGAAAATGCGCGAAATATGCATTCTGTGTGAACGGCTTGGTTTCAGTTTTGACGTAAACAACATCTTCTCCGCATTGATGTTCTCTTTTCCCGCAATATTTGTAATTAACAACGCAGCAGCACCGCATCTAGTGGCTTCAACTGGATAGGCTAAGAAAACCATTAAAATGCAACGACACTTACATCGTCATCGCATCTCGTGCGCCACTGATATGGCTGCCTCCTTAACGCACACCTAAAATTCGAATGCAACATTTTTGCATTAGAATGTGGATTTTTATTTTAAATTCGACGAATATTCGAAATTCTACATTTTTTTTGACAGCCCTAACACACACACACACACACAAACTCCAACTGTATACACATATACACGTTACATAAACATATGCAATACATACCTCATATGCTCCGGGTCCTGGGGTCTTGTCTTTAGGGCTTTTGAAGCGATCTTCTTTTGAGACAATCAGTGCAAGTTTTGGGCTGAATTGAACATCTGGACTATATTGAGCCGGACCTGAAAACCACAAACAACCAACAGCTAGTTTAGCAGGAACACTTGTACATAACTCTCTAAAAACGCTGTTTACATGGGGCAAACTCCACTGTTATGTCAGTAAGGCAAGGACAGAAGTTCTCAGTCCCAATTAGACCACTTTTAAAGATATGTTAGCAACAAAACCACAACCTTCACATGTCTGCTTTTAAACGCTCTTGAATGTTTAACCCCTTAGACTTCTGAAGGAAGATTTCCTTTTCAACAGCAGGCCACAAATGCCATAAAGATGAAGTCAGCGTATATTCCTTAAATAACTGTCAAAGCTTCGGTCACCTGGGGTTTCAGGGTCGTAATGGAGGAAGGCGGGGTCTCTGGGGGCGGCAGACAGGAAGCAGCTCTGTCGCTTGTGTGCTTTCTCGTTCCGCGGCTTGCTGTAGTGTTGGAGGCCGTGTATCTTCTCAAACGATTTGCTCACATTATATGAGCCTGGCAGAGGTGTATTCTGCCAAAAGAAATCTAATATCTAACCACAGCATCATAAATATCATCTGCACAATTTACAGCAGGTACATATGAGCCAGGAGGCTGTGTGTG